TTTACCAGGTACTATATTTCCCAGCAGTTGACTGACAAAAGTGACGTTTATAGTTTTGGAGTCATCCTCCTGGAACTAATATCCGGTCAAGAAGCAATTTCAAATGAAAAATTTGGTGTCAACTGCCGTAACATAGTCCAATGGGTAATATACATCAGTTCTAATTTTGTAAGATCTGAAATTCACAGACCCGAAACCGCCTCCCTGTGAAAGCAGGGGTAAGGCTTGGACCAGCACAAAATCGGATTTGGGCCGGGCCTGAGGTCAACTTTTGCCCGCAGTTCAAGCCCGGCCGTTCGGGCCAAACATCACGCCCATATCCGCCCATGAAGGTGATCCAAACGACTACATGGCAGCCTGGCTCGGATCCGATTCAAATGTTTGGATCTAATATTTTTTTTAGAAATCATCCGAAATAGGACTAAAACATAGAGAAAAGTACCAAAATAGGACTTTCATGTTTTTTTTTCCGAAATAAGACTTTGCACTATAGTAATGTGACTTTGTCCTGTTGTAATGTGGCAGTGTAACTGTGCAAATTACTATACTTTTTTGGTAATGTATATGACCATGTATGGTAATGTAAGTCCTATCTCGGGAATAAAAACATGGAAGTTCTATTTTGGTATATTTTCAAAGTTTTAGTCCTACTTTTATTTTTCTCCCTATTTTTTTTCCTATTTTACCCCATACATCATTATTGAATTACAATTGCTTCAATCAACATACCAAAAAGACATATTTGTATAATATAGTGTGTGTAATTATTTGTTTATATGTATACCCAGATGGGGCCAAACGTAAAACCCAAGCCCGTCCATATTATGTTATGGCCCGGCCCGCATGGGCTCATATGTTGTCCATATCTGCCCATTTTTAAGGGCGGGATGGGTGGGCCACCCGAGTTTGTGCAGGTCTACTAAGGCTGTGTACATCTAACCTCCCTAAACCTCGGACCCTCGTGCCCTGAGTCACATTTTATAAACATCTGAAATCCCAAGAAGTTGGATATATGTACACACACACACACACATGTGTGTGTGTGTGTGTGTGTGTTATATATATATATATATATATATATATATAATGGGCATTCTGATTGTACAGGCAAAAATGCATATCGAGAGCGGAGATCTTCAAGGGATAATCGACCCTACACTGGGGGACGACTATGACATCCAGTCGATGTGGAAGATTGCAGAGAAGGCGCTAATGTGTGTGCAGCCCCATGGGAGCATGAGGCCATCGATCTCTGAAGTTCTAAAGGAGATCCAAGACGCGCTCGCCATTGAGAGAGGGGCAGAAGTGGTAAGGGAAGGCGGGAGTTCTGATGACATATCTAAGCAGTCTCTCCATTCCTCCCTCAACTTGGGCTCCATTGATCTTGCTGCAAGTGAGCATTGCCTCTCCATTGATGAATCAATCGCCCGCCCCAGCGCCCGTTAGGTTCTTGGTCTGTACAGTATATATATATATACATATATCCATCTGTAGGATTGCTTCTTTTTTTTTTTTGGGTTCCAATGAATCAAATACAGCATTTAGGATGACTGATTTCTTGCCCTGGCCAAAATTGGGGTGGATTTACTTAGTAAACCCTTTTTTTGCAACTATAGACAATTATTTTTTGTGGGTTCTTATTGCATGAATTGTTTCTGTGACTTTTCAAGTTTTTTAAATTATGAAATTTAACTTCATTTGCTAGTCTCTTTGCTGGGCTTGTATTTTCCGGAATCTCCAAGGTTTTCTATTCAATTTTCGTCAAAGAAAAATTTGTGTGGCTCTATTATTTGAATTAAACTGTCTTATTTTAGTTTAAGAACAAGAATTTAATGAAATGATCTATATTATTTTATTTATTAGATATAATGGTATAGAACTGTGATGTTAATTACTTGAATGTTTTCATTTAATTACCACAAATATAATGAATTAAAACAGTATTATTAAGCCAATATCAAGTCATGAAGTTTGAAGCAGTAGGTAAAGATGAAACTGAGCAATTTAGATAGAATGGAATTGAGAGTGTTTCAATAGATTTTTATGGTCAAGCACGATGAGAAACATAAAATCATGATTTTAAAGGCACCTAATGGCTGTGGTGACTACATATCCACAATATGTTATTTTATATTGTCTGTTTCAATTTACGATGTTTGACTGAAATTATTTTCAAATTATTTTATTTGAAAAATGGTGTAAAATTAAAAAAATTAGTTTTTTAAAAACTAGAGTAAAGGACATGATTATCTTGGGGAAGTTTACTGTGCGATATGCCCTTTTCCCCAACAAAATTTTTTCTCCTTGATTTTTTATGTTTCAATCTTCATTTTGAATCCTTTAAGTATTAGAATAATTTAACTTGTGCATTTGAGTTTTTCCACCATAACTCTAGTTTCTAATCAATTTAAAACTCGTGAGGGCACGGTTCCGCTTAAGTGTGAGAATGATAGAGTTATGGTTGAAATGCTCTTTAGGAAGTTTAGTACTCCGTACATCTTTATATTTTAAGGAAAATTATATATACAGTGATCAGCTTTTAGAAAAAATCTTTTACCCTAAAAAAAATAATTTTCTTGTCAAACTTAGATTTTTGTTCAAATTTTTGAAAAATTTTGGTATGAATTGATGAATTTAGGTCTAAATTAGTAGATTTAATATCATGTTCTCTAATTTTTCAATTAACAGTCTTTCTACACAAAGATATTTTGTAAGGTCAAATAATTTTTAATTATTTTATAAAAAATCTTTTCAGATACTGCTCCGCTATTTCTTAATATGAGCACTTGTTGTTTCTTTAAAAGTTCTATTTCAATAAAAAACACTTTGGTGAGACCGAATTCTCGAGTGAAAATTTTAAGACAAAAATCATCTGGTTCTATGTCAGATGATGAAATTTATTTTTGGAAGAATGCCAAAAAGCATGCAATTCTATATTACATGATGAGGTTTTTGAAAGAAAATGATGTCCAAAAAACTCGTTGTTCTATGTCACAGATGAGGATACAAATTCTTTATACTCGTGTCAACATGACAAAGTGATGTTATTCAAAAAAAATCATGAATGTAACTTTTTCAAGAAACAATTTTTTAATTCAATCATTAAAGATTCTTTGACCTTGAAAAATTTTAGAGTAATAGAAAAATTTGTTATTTTAAATTTAGAGTACATCGATTTTAGTCTTACTAATATTTTTCAAAAGATTAATTTGAACAAAATTATGAGTTTGACAAAAGATTTTATTTTCTTATAAAATGGGTTAAAAAAATTATTTTTAGTAAATTAGGTTGGTGACTGTGTAATATTTTGTTCCTATAAATATATTGTGTTAAAATTCTTTTTATTGTTCAATTTCTTGTTTGAGGGCAAATAACGTTTAAATGTGAGAAATTTGATAAGTCCAATTTTTGGTCTTATTTTATATCTCATATTTCAACGTTCTTGTGCGTAAACAAAAATAAATCAAGAAATTTAAATAAATTTTCATGATAAAAAGTCATTTTACAAATATGTTAATAAAAAGATTGTTCAAAATTAAATTTAATTTTTCCAAGCATATCATGTCCGAGTAACCCGAGTTAGAAAAACTGTTTCAAATTGATGATCACAAGTCAAGAAGAGACCGAATCAGGTTTTGGAGCAAAAAGGGTGGAGTAAAATATCAAATTTGCCAAAAGTGAATCGAAACACTGCCCAGGGCTTTGAGAGGCGTGCACCCCAGCCCCATGCACATGCATGTGCCTGTGACGCTTCATATCTGGTTCAAAATCAGGGTTTTGGCGGAGGATCCAATCAAACTGAAACCCAGACGCCTGATAGGCGTGCACCTCAGCCTTAGGCGCGCGCCTGGGCTTCTGGTATGGATATATTAGCAGCGGTTCATCAACCATTTCAACCATCATCCCTTCTCAACTTTCCTTCTCTCTCTAGTTACGAAAAATATTGCAAAAAAATCAAGTTTTTATCATTTTGAAGTTTCAAGTCCAGATGTGTTCAATTTCGTTTTTTCTAGAAGTTGTAAGTGTTTGTAATATTTTTATAAAAATGTTATATTATTTAGTTTGTTTACATTTAAATGTTATCATGTTTGCTTAAATATCTTAGGAATGTGAATTGAAATAGGGTAGTAGGTATGTAAGAAAAAATAATTAAGTTAGAATATTAAATTTAATTAATTAATAATGCTAAGTATTGTGGTAATGTTATAATTAATTAATGTGGCCAAAATTACGTTTCAGTGCTGTTAAATGAAGAATAATAATGTATCTTCACATTGTTCTCTCAAATGCCTATTTCCTCACAAAGTTCATCAACATCATCCAATTCAACTACTCCCTCTTCGTCTACTCGCTTCCAAGATGAGGCACACATCAGCCAGGCTTTACTATCTGCTAAAATGTATGCAAACATGTCAATATTTGAAGGTAAATGTAGGTATTTTGAATTATAATTTTATCTTTTTTCTTCGAATCTCTGAGTTATATCTTCTCAAATATCTCATGCATTTGGAAGTAGTTTCGATCTCATACCATCGAATCCCAAAATCTATCATTTTTTTTGTTTAAATTCATATCTTTACACTTCTCACTCTCAACTTTGGCAGAAATCTGTAGTTTGAACTTAGTGCAAAGGTTTCCCTCATATGCTATTCTTACTTCTTACGGAGTAGTAATATGAAATTTGAACTCTCAATTATGATTTGGATTTTGAAGTCCCAAATATGATTAGGTTTTTCAACTCTCATTTTGTATTTAAATTTTGATGCCTCAAAGACTTAGATTTTTGAACTAAAAACAAAATAATTGGTATTCAAATTTCTGTTTTTATTTGGATTGTTACTGTGTTCTTTTGTAGGAACATTTCAATTGAAGTTTAAGCTTGGTGAAACCGTAGCTAGAGTAGGTGCACTAGCTTATGAGGCCACAATGACTGATTGCCATAACTATAAATCATTAAATCCAACGGAGTAAATCTCACAAAAAGAGCAAGGGTTATAAAGAAATCAAAGAATAATTTTTTAATTATCCTCTCGAACACAAAAAAAAATCAACTACACTACCCACTTTGATATAACCATCTTCAATTTCAATAAAATGAATGAAAATAAGCTCTAGAATTTGAATTCAAATATATAGACAACGAAATTTGCATAAGCCCATGCATCGACATATTCAAATTCACAACCCCAGATTTTCTAGAATTTCCTAAATTTTTTGCTCGTTGTTTGTTTTTTTCTGGTCATGTGTTCGGTCTTTGTGTTTAGATTTTAAAAGTTTGGGCTTTATGTGGAATGTGTTTTGACTTTATAAAGTCCCTTGTACAACTTTTTTTCAGCAAAATAAAAAACTTAACCCAAATTTTAAGCCAGCTCCTCACTTGGCTCGCACACCTCCAAGCAAACTACGCAACTATCCGTCACGTCTCCTGCAGCTGGATCGAAGGTGCAGCGTTGGAGACCTGCCACCAATGCCGAAGACCTTTGTCGCGCAGTGACGTCGACCACCGTCTTGCAACGCGTCCGGCGACAGTGGAGCAAGAGATACCAAACGAACCAAAAGATGATGGCGGCAATCACGCCAATCAACACAATGCTGGTAAGCCTGTCGGAAGAGGTCTCATGCTCGACAAAAGATCTGGAATCTACGGAATTGCCGTCCGACATTGGTAGTCCGCTACCCCAATGTCGGACAGAGATTCCAGGGCCTTCACCGAGCCTGAGACCTCCTCCTCCGACAAGCTTACCGGCATTGTGTTGATTGGCGTGATTGCTGCCATCATCTTTTGGTTCGTCTGGTACCTCATGCTCCACCGTCGCCGCCGCCACTGCGCGGCAAGTGTCTTCGGCATTGGTGGCAGGTCTCCTGCGCTGCACCTTCGATCCAGCTGCGGGAGACGTGACGGACAGTTGCGTAGTTTGCTTGGAGGTGTGCGAGCCGGGTGAGGAGCTATCGATGTTCCCACCATGCTCCCACTCATTCCATGGGCAATATCTTTCCTAGTGGCTGGCCTAGAATACTTCGTGTCCCATATGCCGGACGGTTGCGTTTCTAGAATAGGCCGGCGGGCAGGGAGTTGCATCCTCTGTCCCACCCGCACCCTTGTGCGCGGTGATGCATGGAGAGGTTGATTTTGAAGAAAATATCATCATCTCCTTCATCAATTAAATCTGAGATGAGATTGAGCATCAATTAATACACATGTTAGTATTATACATGTGATGGATGAAGTTGAGCATCAATTTAAAAAAAAAAAACTAAACAGAAAATCTAATTTAAAGAAACATTCAAATTTAAAATTTAAAATTAAATGCATCAATTAAAACACGAGTACACAACCCTATAGCTATAAAAATGAAATTAACCGCGCAATCACACGTTTCATCTTGAATGACCAAAACACGAACCATTATCAAAGAAAAGCAAACATGCAAGCAAAAGAATAGACCTTACATCACACAGACTACATATCATTCCACATAAAATAACAAAAGCTTCCGAAAAAAACAAACACACACGAGTAAAAAAAAAACAAGAATAGCCAAGTCATAAAAATCCACCATGGTTGAAACCCAGAACCCCAAATCCAATGGCGGAGCTAGAAGGTCACTAGTGGCCGTTTTTTTTTAAAAAAAAATAACATAAAATGATTAAAAAATTTATTTCAAAGAATCAAATTATTCACAAAAAATATAACAATAAAATGTTATTATTATTAATTATGCAAAATGTCAGTTCTTTTTCAAAATAACAATTTAGTTAATTAATTACGTAGTATTTATTACTGAGTATCAAATTTGTCTAAAATTATATGGAGTAATTCTTATAATTAAACAAGAACGACAATAATAACCCAATTGGATCTTCAAACCAAGAAATCTCGTTTCTTTTCAAACCCAAAACAAGAAACCCAAGAAAAAAGATAAGCCAAGCGAGATCTATAGAAACCACAACCCTAGGTAGATGGCGCAGTAACTCTACTGCCTTCTATTGCTATATATAGATACGGAAGAAAAAGGGTATGGGTATGGATAGCATTTTTATTACCAATTGTAAAAACTGTTAAAAGTAAGGCAATAAAAATCCAGGTATTACCATTTTTATTTTAATATTCTCCTTTAATGATAAGAATTTAAATATATTATATTTAATAATGTTGATTATTACCAAAAAAGGTAATGATTAACAAGGACTTGAATTATTCTACACATACAACTGTTTGAGAATTATATAAAAAATGTAATGTAATTCTTCAATGTAGACCTACGCAATTCAATACTTTTAAATTATTACCATTTTTATTTTTATTTCTCCTTTAGTGGTATATCTTAATAGTACTCTACATACTCGGATCCACAAGAAATTAAAAGAATATATGGAATAATTGGGTGGCAGAAGAGATCTATATTCTTTAAAAAAAAAATCATAAAAACATCAAAACATTGTGTAGGAGGAAATTATGAATTTGGATTTGATAATTTTATCTGATTGTGTAGAGATAAAAAAATTGTGGACTAGAATGATCAAATAGAGATTAAAAAAACTACCAGGCAGATGAAATTTGTGGAAGCTTCACTGTTTTCTAAATGCGCAATTCACCATCAGCAGCAGACCTGCAAGATTGACCAAGAAAAATCGACGCTTGAGTTTCAAACCCAATCCATAACCTGAATTTCAGACCTAAGCCATGCCTTAAAATAATTGGTTGGTACCTGAGAACGGAAGGACGTAACTGTAATTGCTCCACAGGAGTCGATCCAGCGCAGATCTGGCGCGGGGATGAACTGGACTTCCGAACGTACCCGCGCTCCTGCGCGGCGTCGTCTCTGGCGAGCGCGATGAGCAGGCGGCGCGCCTCCGCGTCGGCCTGCCGTAAGTTCTGCGCGGACAAGTGGCGCTCGAGGAGATCGAAGGAGGCGGCGGCGGATTGTGCGGTGGGAGTGACCGCCATGGGGCGGCGGACAGGATGGAGACCCGAGGGAAACGGCGACGAGGGTGCAGGCGGGTTTTTTGAGGAAGAAGGAGGAGGCCGGCGGTTTCTTTAGGATGTTGTGGGATAGAGAAATTTTGGGAGTATTTGAAAGGTATTAATAGAGGAGAAGAAGAAGATAAGGGAAGACGGGAAGTGATTGGGGAGAATCTAAAGAAAGCCCTTCTTGATTGGATATTGGATTATGGGATATGGTGAAGATGTGATTATCTAATGGTGTACACGCACCATCAACTCTTTAGTCACAGGCATTTTTTTTTTTTTTTGTGTTTATGAGATTTGATTGATTTTACTTTTAATTTAATTTATTTTATTGTAAGTGTAAAATTAAAAAATAAAATTTACGTATTTAAAAATTACATTAAAAGTTCTACAAAATGAGAAGTGGCAAGACTATATTATTTTATCAAATAAGTAGAAAGTGATTTAAGTTTGACCGTGTGAATAATAACTAAGAAGATAGTTTTAGGACGGAGGAAGTATCTTATATTTGTCTGTTAAATCTTTTATTTTTAAACTTTGTCAAAAGTATGATGGTTCGTTAACAAAAATTTACACTAACATTTTAACATTTTGTATCTGTGTGAATATCACCCTAACATTACACTGATACAAAATGAAAGTGCATACTTGCGATGTACTCCGTATAAATTGAGATACAAATAACTTAATTTTTCTTTTTTTTCTCGGCGATGGGTAAATAAACAGTTGAGTTACTGCCACCCCTACATATGGGTTCCGTTCCAATGAGGGGCAGTGCTAGAACACCTCACACCCATCATTCCATTTTTTTACTCTCTATTTATTATGCGACAGGAACTTGTTTGCCCTTCACCAATCTACTCCAATGCCATGCTTATCATGAAAATTTTGTGTGGGTCTCAAATTAAGATTTAGATAAGAGTAAATTTCATAATTAGTCCTTTATAAGAAGAGTGTTTTCATATTTAATCCTCTATCATCAAATATTACCACCGTGGTTCTTTTTAAAGGATACCTTTCCACAAATGATCATTTTTTTATCTTCTGTCGTGTTGGTGTTAATTTAAAGGCTAAAAGTATTATTTGACATCAACATTATGTCTAGTGATGTGTTCTGATATTGGTTAAGCGGATAACACAAAAATAATGACTATGATTGTGGGATAGGATTCTGACAAAAGACCACATTTGTAGACTATAGTTGTAGTAGAAAACGACTGTAATTCACAAACGACGTAAACGGAATAGTCTTTGGAATTGTGCATGACAAAAAAGATATATTATCATTGTGAATTCACACTTTTAGCTCTCAAATTAACATTAACATGATATAAGATCAAAAAAGGACTATTTATGGAAAGGTACACATAAAAGAAGGACTACTGGAGTAATATTTGATAATAGAGGACTAAATAGGGAAACCCTCCTGTTATAAAAGACTAATTATAGAATTTACTCTTTAGATAACGGACTTATTTACCTCATTTTTTGATGTGATAGGTCGGATATGAAATAATAAAAGATAAAAATAATTTTTTAATAGATAAAGGAAGGAGTTAGTGAGACAAGAAAAAAGAGAGGGGAAGGAGTTTAGGGGACAGAAGGAGTAAAAGATTACAGCATAGAAGAAAATATAGAAAAATAATCCGAAGTTAGAATATGTTCAGAAAGAAAGGAAGAAATAAAAATAAATTAGACATCGGTGATCCGCAGGGGCAGACCTACTTGGACACAATTGGAGGCCATGCCCCCAACTAAATTTTGGTGTTAAACTAATTCTTTTTAAAAAACAATTCTTATGCTTTGGGCTGCATGCCCTCATCTAAAATTGGGATTGACCTCATCTCAAATTATTTACTCCCTAGAAAAATGAATAAAACCTTATTTAATTAAGCTAGTTTTTAATTTTTTTTCTTTAATCTTATTGCAGTAAAGTGTATTTTATTGCATTTAATTTATTGTTTAAAATAAAATTTTACATTCCCAATTAAATAAAATTTTACATTTAATACATTTTTAAAATAAAATGCATTATTTTTTGTCATTTTAAATGGTCTATTTTTTAAAAAAATCAGGGGCGCTGCCCCGACCAATTGTGTCTCCATCTACCTGAATTTCTGGATTTGTCAGTGATTGGAAGACGAACGGTTCCTAGAGCTTTTTGGCCAGGACAAACACTAATCAGAGAGAACCTACAAATAATAATGAAAATGAGTCCTTGAAGTCCTACAAAGTAGTATATTCACCTCTTGAGCACGGTAAAAGAGTTGAGATGAGGTGGGTTTTATCATGATAGAGAATATTGATTGTTGAAGGAGTTAAGGTGGGTATTATTAAAGCAAAATATTGAATGATAATGTACTACGGGACAAAGGGAGGGAGAGAGTACATACATCTTTACAAGGAAATACTCGCTCCGTCCCACTATATTTGTCCACTTTCATTTTTGCACACCATTCAATACACTTTTTTAATCCATTTTATCTTGTAACTTGTATATTAAAAAAATATAGAAATTATATATTAATAATCTATATGTTAAGACAAATCAAACAAGATCACGCATGACTATATTTAGGCTTACACATTGAGAGAATTTGATGAGTCAAAGTGTTTAGATGAACAATTCCAAAAATCAAAAGTGGACGAATATAGCGGGACGGATGGAGTAATCATTTTCATATTTAATCTAGCCTGGGGACCTCTATACTCCCAATCCCATTCTAGAGTGGGTGTTACTCTAAATATTCACTGAGTATGGACAACTATTTTCATAATTATTTTAATTTTAAATACGTCTAAAAACAAATAAAAATATAAACTAAATCTGTTGAAAATACAAAAAAAAAAAAATTAACAAGTACTTCTTCTGTGTTGTAAAATTTTCTAATTTTGTATCTCATTTGTTCCATTAAACATCTTAATTTGGGCTAAATTAAACAAAATTATCGTCACTTTTCTTAAATATAACCGAATATATCTCAACTACTTTAGTTTTTACGGCTACCCATTTTGATATTTTCCAAGCAACTATGCATTGATAAAACTTGTGATGGCAGTATACAATAGCACTTTCCGGTCCACGTTACTATATAGGAATGTAATTATTTCATACTCTATATTAGATTATTAGCATTATTATTGTTGTTGTTGTTGTTATTATTATTATTATTATTATTATCATCATCATCATATATTAAAAATGGCCGGTTCCCTCAAAAATGGGTGACATCAGTTCATTGGAGTGGTTCGAGTCTTTCCATCTACGAACCACTAAGGATGTCAACAATGATGAATATGTTGCCCAAACGATCGAGGGACTACCGAACGAGGAGTTCAAAACTAGTTTTTTCGGTGGGTTTGATATAGACCCGATGGTGTATTGAATTCAATCAACAAGGAAAATGAAACCCCAGAGAGCTACGCCGACAAGAAGAACCAACGCCAGGGCGAGAGAACATCCCATGCAAAAAAGTGTTGGGGGAGAAGCAACAAGTAGGATGCACCACCTACAAGGATCAACTTCAAGACAATCAACCAAACACTTAACCCAATTCACCACTATTGATTAACCAAGCACATAAAATCAGCAACACATCAAATAAACCACAACCAAATATGAAGAACAAAGATGCAAACGACACACGATTTTTATACGTGGAAAACCCCTTCGATGTGAAGGATAAAAACCACGGGACTTATAGGGAGTCCGCCCTCTTCTTCTCTTATTATGCAAATTGAGGGTAAAAACACTCAAACTCAGTCTACAAGGATGTCACAGCCCACCAACAACAACATACATAAGAGGCATCAACAATAGAGAAAGAAAATCAGGATTATCACCCAAAAATGCAGCGTCGCACCAGCTGCGATTACAGAAGATCCGTAGCTCCGATTGATGTGAAAATTGAACAGATTGAAGCCCTAAGTGTTGGGAACAACCTCTGAAAATTTCAGCTCAATCCAACGGCTGGATCTCCGGCGATGATCGAATTTGTGCGGCTGGTCTGTAAATTCTGCACCAGCACCTTTCCTCTCTC